TCTGACAGCGACAAAGCTAAGCCAATCTCAGTGGGTTGTGCTGGGCTAGTACCGCCCGCTTCGCCCTCATCAGTGGCGTGATTTCCCGAGGCAGAGAACAACCCGTGGTGAGGCTGCAAACCAAACCAACTACAGGTGTCTCTCCTTCCTACGCCGTTCATTCCTGGAAAATAGCACAGAGCATTAAACTCGTCATGGAGTGCTCTGGGGCTAGATGTAAAGGAGGCTTGGTTTCAAACCAGGGATTTCTAAAGCAGAGGGCCAGTGAAAGAGGAAGGCCCTCAACATGATGGATGGACACAGTAGCTGTGACAGCGGGCTCAACCTGAGGAACTGGGAGGCCGGTGCAGGGCGGGCAGTGTTTGGATCTGTTGTACACAGGGTCGCGATGAGTCGGCCCGGCAATGACAACAACATATCAATAAGCTTTGCCCGGACACACATCCAGCGGGGCATGCGGACGTCGTGCCAGGTGCTGGGCAATGTATTGTTGTGCAGGACTGTCCCAGAATGCCTTGCAGCACACTGAGCATCCTTGTCCCTGCCCGATTATTGTCATGACCTCACACACTCCTACACCCCGACCCCTCCTGGTACTGGGCCCTGGAGAATCATTGTCAGGATGAGAACCCATGGCCAGGAGGAGCAGGAGGGAAGTAAATTCACATCTACTGACTGGCACGTGCCAAAGCACAACGCAGAGCCCTGCAAATGATCCTTTCTGTGGATCTACGGCTCGCTATTACTTTGCCTCAGAGACTTTGTGAATGAAATGATTGTGCCCAACATCTGAATGCTCAGTCCGTGTGGTCTTCTCCCTCCCTGCCTCCCTCCCTCCCCGTAGCTGTCAACTTCTCAGCCTGCTATCAATCCTGGTGAGGCACGAAAGTACACTGGATGGTTGAGGGAGGGCAGTGAGTAAAATTAAGCACCAGCAAATAGGCGCACATCACCCCAACTCCCAGAGAAGCTGGCAGGACAGCATGTCACAGAAGACGACCATGGGACTGACGAGCAACCCTGGAGAACGACTGTGTCCAGAGACCTGCTTTTCAGTCTCTGCTCCTGCCTAGCTACGGAGTCAACTTCCTGAGTGAGGACGGGCGGCCCAGGGCCGCGCACGGCTGCTCCTCTCTGGACGCCGGGCTGGGCAACAGCAGGCGGGCATGGAGGGCGCCACGGTGATCCTCACCCAGGCTGTGTGCAGGCTGGTGCCTCGGCACCCTCCCTTCCCACCCTTGGTGCACCAGGCCACCTCTTGGCCCCTGTCACATCTCAAGTTGCACTGCCTCTCCCAGAAAGGCTTCCTGACCTCTCAGCAGAATTGACGGTCACGCTGCATGTCCTCGGACCCTGTGCTTCCTTCTTCCCCGGCCGTTCCAATGTGGTGATGTACTCGGGTGTTGGACGAACCCCCGCTCGTCTGCAAGGGCTATGTCTGACTCGGCTGTCTTCCCTGGCCACTGGTGCAGTACCTAGTGCACAGCAGGGGTCCACCAAATGTTCACTCCCTCCCTGCAGGTCGTGGAATAACACTGCACACTCGATGCCACAAGGCTGACAAGGGCATTTCCCAGGATACACATGGAGAACTTGATCTGTATTCCAAAGGGCAGTTTATTGAAAACAGGGTGACACAGTACAGGACAAAGAGAGGAGGGAGAAATGCAACTCTAACAAAAAGGCACATAGGAAGCATCTCACAGAAACACGGGGGCCGTGGAGGAAGCTATGTCTCATACATATACAAACTGCGGATCTCCATCGATTATGTACATCCAAACCTTACACGATCACATTTCAAGTCGCATCCAAGCCAGTGTCATTAGTTTTTGTTGCAAAAGTTAAAGCTACAAACTTCACATTTTTAGACTGTACATCAGCAAACAGTATTTATAAAACCTCTTTTGTTTTTCCCCAAGTTGGTCCGAGAGCAAGCTGGTAGAAGATATGTTTTTGCAAACACACACAAGAATGTGGAATCCAGAGACTGTGAGCAGAGCCCCAGTGGACACAAACATCGTGCTTAAGAAAGGACGGGGTGGGGGAGCATGATCGAGGCGAGAACAATTTCCCAGTTAAGGAGGAGCTGCAATCTTTAGAGGCAACACGGTATGCTACAAAGGGCACTGGATTTGCATCCTAGCTCTGCCATATCCTCGCTACATGACCTTGAGCCACAGACTCCACCTCTGCAGAATGAAGACAGAGCTGAGGACAAAGCTCCCAGGGCTGAGGTCTAATAGGTGCAGGGCTACACGGATTTCCTAATTCTTCTTGGATGAGGTTTGGTAGTTTGTATCTTCCAAGGAGTTTGTCCATTTCACTTAAGTTGTTGAACACATTAATATGAAGTTGTTCAAAATATCCTGTTCGCATCCTTTCAATAGCTATAGGATCTACATAGTGATGTTACCCTCTCGTTCTGATATGGTTAAGTGTTACTGAGTTTTACATGATAAAATACATTTCTGGCACCTGGTAGGTACTAAATGGTTCCTGGATCAGACAGAGTCTATACCCTCAAGGAGTCAAGGCTTCAGATTATTGGCTGAGTTTAATCTACCTATCTAACCTAATCCATCCATCCACCCACCTGTCCATCTATCCACCCATTCATTCATACATCCAAGTTCCCTCCCTCCACCCATCAAGTGAAACACTCACCCTCCCAATTGTTGATGGAGGAAGGGACCTAGGAGGGAGGCAGACAGGGAGTCAATTATGATATTCTTAAGAGAATCTGAAATATTTTTAAAGACACAATAGGTGGGAGCTATTGTTTCTTTGAAGCACAAGACCGGTGAGGGGCTCAGAGCTCGATGGAGGCGTGGACCACAGTGCCCACGCGACGACGGGCACTTGGGTCCATTAAAGCAGCAGATCTACCCGGAACTTCATATTCTAGGGGAAAGGGCGAACATTTGCTCCGCTGCCTTCCCTCCACCAGAAACAAACGCGTCTTGTCAGGAAAATGTATCTGATTCCACAGGGGCTTCTGTCCAAAGGGTCCCATCTAGCCAGAGTGGTGAATGGAACGTATTTTGTGGGACCAGCATGTGGGCGCACACGGGTTTGAAACAAAACCCACCGTAGGCCCCGGTTCATGACCCCAGGACATTTATGGGGGGAGTGAGCCTTCTCTTGCAGAGGTCTGGCCCAGAGAGGGAGACATGGACTTTCCCCCCTGCCCAGCCTGGTGCGAGCCCTTTGTCTGAAAACAGAGGCAGAGGCAGGGCGGTGGGTTAGCACAGCAGACAGCGTGAGGCGGTGGGGAGCGCATCTGATGCTCTGGCATTTCCAACTGACTATCAGACTTGACAGCTAAACCAACAGTTTCTGAGCCCAGAAACACCAGCAAGAGTTATGGAGTTTATAGGAAAAAGTGGTCACTTTTTATGTTCAAGACTTGTGACTCACCTCTGCTCTCTACAAATTGGTCCCACGTGGCGATGCTGTGAATCCTGATTTTACTAGCTGCGCTGGCTGGGAGAAGAGTCTGTCTTCTTTGAAACCGGGGTACTCCTCGTACCCCAGCGGCTCCCGAGCCGTCCTCTCACCTCTGCAGCCGCCACACCGCTGCCTCACTGGCCATGTCCTGAAGACGAACCACACCGTCTCTTGCAGTTTTTAAAATCTCATTTAAAGGCGAAGAAGAGCATCTGGCCACAGAAGAGGGCCACCCCACCCTTTCTATCGATTCCCAAGTCTGGGGTGCAAAGCTAATTATAAAGTTAAATTACAGGTCGCCAAGGTGCAAGCCAGGCCTGGCTGCCCTAGCTGAGGGAGAGACAGCGGAAAACAAGTAAGCTTTCTAACAAGACACTCCTTTCTCAGCTGTGTCCTCCTTGCTGGTGACCAAACCCACGTGGCCCTGAGCCAGCGCTGCAGGAGGCCTGTGGTGTCTGAGTAAAGCCTCTCCCCAGCGGCCGGCTCTAGCGCTCCCTGCAGGCCTCACAGGTTTGCTGAAATGGAACCAGCTGGTGCCCCTTGGGAACCTCTGCCCACTGGGTCACCCACTTAGGGAGCAGGGCCCCCTGGGCACGTCTCTTCCTGGGGAGAAGAGGCTGCTTGGCACAGGGGCCTTGAGGGAGGCAACCAAGCCCTAGCCCCCACGCTCCTAACCTGCTTTGTGCTTGGTGCCCCATCACCTGCGTCCGGCCCAGCTGCCCCATCTCGACAGCAGGAGTGGGGCCCTTCCAGCTTTGCCATTTATTTATGTCTGGGTCGATCTCCTTCTGGAGAGGCCCAATTCTCATCTATGGTTTTCAGACCCCCTCAGCAGTTAACTGAGAAAGACAACAGCCACATCTTTGAGTATGGACAGCAAAAGCACAGAAGGCCCTCTGCCCCTCCGTAGAGAGAGGGCAGCACACAGCGCGGACAATGAGCTTCGGAAACCCTTTCCCCCGTGCAGCCTGCCACAGTCCCGTGTCTGCCGAGAGCCCCGGGCGGACGGCGCCCTCCCTGGGTCGCATCTTCTCTTAAGGCACTGAGCAGGGTCTGTGCTGGGACTCTGGGCAGCTGGGAGAGCAGGAACGGCCCAATTGCGAGCAGGTGCCAGGCTGCCCCGGGAGCTCGCACGAGGCTGAAAGTGGCTCAAGCTTCACGTTGAAATGCAGCCCTGCAAGGGGGTCAGACAGCTCCCAGGAGCCCAGCCTTCTGCCCTTGCAGTCCACAGTACCGTAATCATACAGAGAAGAAGCTTTAAACTGTACCTGTACAGAGACGCCACCGCGTCGAGTGGGAACCCACTTATAACTTATATATATATATATGCATATTTATATGTCTTTAAAAAGTTTCCCAGGAAGAACCGCTGAAAGCTATTGAGAGAGGATACACAGAAAGACCACGTAAGGTTTTCCCAGCAATCAGTCAACTAGGGAGTCTGATCCGGGGCTTCACAATGCAGAGTGAGTAAGCGCCAGGGTCACGCCTGCTGGCCCGCTGACCTACAAGGCAGCCCTTGCCTCTGGCACTCATTCCTGAGTTTGCACGGGGGGCCGTGGAGAGGTGACGGCGAGCAAGCACAGCTGTCCAGGAGCCCTGGGCCTGGCCCAGCTCAGAAGTTCTGCTGCCGCCGCTTCTTGGCCTCAATGGCATCCAGGATGGGCTGCCGTTTGGACTGGTACTTCTGTCGGATCTCTTCGATCTCCTGCTCCATCATGGGGTCAAGGGCCAAGAGCCTCTTCTGAAGGTCTTCCACTGTCCACGTCTTCAACTGGAAGAGAAGCAGAGAGCAGTTACCAACACACCCAGGCCAGGGGAGAGCCGCCTGCCAGAAGCTCCCGGAGGACAGTGTGGTCACAACCAAGTGGGGACGGTGGAGACTGGGAAGTGGCAACTCACTCAAGGGACTGGCACAGCCAGGAGCTCCTTGGAGACGCTTTATCCCGGAGGAGCTCCAAGTGCTAATCATTTTTGGTCAGGTCGGCTCCCGTCCTGCTGCACATGGCTTACAGGTATGGAAAAGCAAGGGCATTACTCTGCGGACCAAGGAGCACCTGACGCCAACCATGGTCTTTCCAATCGCCTCATGTGCATGTGAACGCTGCACACTGCCTAAGGAAGAAGGATGTGCTTGGACTATGGTGCTGGAGAGGCGCACCAAAAGGGCCAAGACTGCTGAAAGGGCAACCCATCTGTCTCGGAAGAAGTCCGGCCAGAGCGCTCCTCTTTAGAGGCAAGGATGGCAAGACTTTGTCTTACATCCGTTGGACATGTTGTCAGGAGAGACCAGTCCCCGGAGAAGGACATCATGGGTGGCAAAACGAAGGGGAGGCGGGAAGCAGCAGCTCCTCACCGAGATGGAGGGAGACAGGGCTGCATCAAGGGGCTCAGCATGGGAAACGTGTGAGGAGGGTGCAGGGCGGGCAGTGCTTCGATCTGTTGTGCATGGGGTCACGATGGGTCGGGGCTGACCCAATGGCCCCTAACAGCTGCTCCACTGCATGCCAACCCCCGGGAACCACAGAACCAAGCAGGGCCCGCGCCATCGCCGCCACGAAGGCTCCCAGTGCCTGCTGGCCTGGGAGTTCACTTTCCCTCACGACAAGACACCATCCTGTTGGCACCCATATGTTTGTACGGGCTGATTTCAAATCATTCCTGGTCTGCCTGGGCCCAGAAGCTCCACTGAGCCATGCCCACCACAGGGGATCCGGTTGGTCTTGGAAACAACCGCTGGTGGCAAAGCTCCCAGCATCATGGCAGACATGCAGGCCACCACACTGACTGATGGGCGGGAGACCAAGAACTCAGTGACTAGTGCATGCTCCTACTTCCTTCGTCTTTTTAACTACTGACCCACAGATCCATCGTTAGGGCATAAGAATCACAGTCACAGTGTACAAAACCACCGTTCCTGCCCGATGAGCACTGGAGAGTGGCTGTCGGGATGGTGCTGGCTGAGGACATGTGCGCTCCCTGGGTTACCACCGCTGGTTTTGTGCTGTAACATGAATGAATTGTCACCTACGGAGGCTATGGGGTACTGGTTCGAGTGTTCAGCTGTGAACCTAAAGGTCTGTGGTTCAAACCCACCGTCGCTGCACGGGAGAAAGATGTGGCCTCTGCTTCTAGAAAGATCACAGCCTTAGAGACTCTCCGGGGCCAGTTCTACTCGGTCTACAGGGCCGTGATGAGTCAGATTTGACTCGGTGGCAATGGGTTTGGTTTAGAACGATGTGCCAGCACTTTATTCAAATTATCCACGTAAGCCTCTTGGGAATATAGATGCACCCCTAGGGGAGGGGCTGGTTGCAACAGCCCTGAGATTTCGTTTCCAGCGCCCAGAGAGAGAAGTGGGCTCGATCAATTAACAGTGACAGCTGGCATTTGAGAAGAGTCTCCTACGAGCCAGGCACTAAGTGCTTTACATACATTGATTTATTTGATGTTCCCAACAATCCTATGGTCTCAGCACATTATCATCATCCACCGTAAGAACGAAGACGCCAAGAAGAGGGTGGTGGCTAATCTGTCCAAGGTCTCAAGTTAGCAAGTGGCCGAGTCTTGGTTCAAACCGGGGCACGATGGCCCCCGAGTCCAGTGAGTGCTTTTAACTGGGAGAGCATAGAGCAAAACTCAAGCCCACTCAACCGCGTGCAAGTGAGGGCTCTGCTCTTGCAAATGTGGCGAGGGAGCCTGGCCAGCCACTCGCGTCTCTTAGCTACAGAGGTGGGACCGGCAGCACCTCACGATGTTTGCTGTAAGAATATGCGAGACCAGAAAGCTGGCTGCTGTGCTGTGTGCTCTGAAGACAGCAGTGGCTGTCAGAGCCCCTTCTCACCAGAGCGCCCAGGAGTCTGCGCCCCTGTGCTGGACGGGGGCTGCGGGCGGGGGCGAGGCTGTGGGAATGAATGTGCCAGTGTTCACAGCAGGTGGTGGCGCTGTGCTTTGTGGGATCCCTGCCATCTTAATAGGCACAGTGTTTCCAGAACTGAGCGGCTAACCTAAGTCTTACAAGGGAGCTGTGTGTCCATATTCACAAAACTGCCCTCCACACTCAGCCCCTTCCTGAGGCCTCAAGGGGAGGTGAAGGAGCCTCTTCCTGCAAGGAAGGGTGGGATCCAGTGAGGTAGGAGTGGGACAGTGGCCTCTCTAGAAATGGTTTAGTGGGGCTGTTGGCCACCGGAATGTTCCTTGGCCTCAGTCAGGGTAACCGGGAAGGGAGAAAGGAGGACCAGTTCAAGGTGAAAGATTCTTTATGAGTATAGCATCTGGGGTCTTAAAGGCTTGAAGGTAATCAAGCGGCCATCAAGCTCAGAAGCAACAAAGCCCACATGGAAGAAG